ATGTGAAGACAGAAAGTGGTCGTCGTGCGACGTGCGTGCAGTAGTAGACGTGAATGCGGTTCTCGTACATTCACAATAGAAACGGTTCTGAAGAGAGAATTCTGTTTTCCAGATTATGTCCAAAAAAACGAGAGAGATGGACCAGATGGTGACTGGAGCGTATATCCACAGTTAGTCCGTTCGTTCTTCCTTTCCCTTTTTTACGTGACGGTCATATAGCTCCCCCCTTTACCGGGGTTTCCCTTTCGACATTTAGTGCGCTTCCCACTGTGGTTATCAAACGTGTAAAGTAGGAACATATGGTGATGCACCCACAAAGCGGTGGGTGTGCTGGGAATCACCGAAAGTTTGTGTACTGGGAGTCTGGACGTGATGCCGAAGGGTAGACCTTGTTAGAGGGAGATAGGAATGATTACCGAAAGGGAGCTTAATGGGAGTCTGGGAGTGATGCCGAAGGGCAGAGCTCGTTAGAGGAAGTTCGAAGGAAGGAAAAGGATTAGGTTAGGGGGCAGGTTATGGATGGCGACTACGTGGTAGCGTTGGCAGTGTGTTCGATGAGATTGTGTGGAGAACGTGGTAGCGTTGGCAGTGTGTCGCTGAGATTGTGTGGAGAAATGTCTTATCATAGACTACATACGAAGTCCACCGATATTTGCAATGCAATGTATGTTGGGGCCACTCTGGAGTTACGACACGGTTCGGATCTTTGATTTGTGTGATTTGATGGGTTGTAGAATATCCGTGGACCGTGGGAGTATGGTGCCATATGCAGTAATATGTGTAATAGAACAGTCTCCATCGAGAGAGGAGAGCGGGAAATGGTGCCAAATGCAGTAATATGTGTAGTAGAACTGTCTCCATCGAGAGAGGGGAGCGGGAAATGGTGCCATATGCAGTAATATGTGTAGTAGAACTGTCTCCATCGAGAGAGGGGAGCGGGAAATAGGGAGATATGGTTCGCGATTGTTTCGCTTACGCTGATGGTACTTGATAATGTTTCGTTTCGGTAGGCTGGCAACGTTAAGTTGGGTGTGGGGAGGGGCTCTTTAACTGGCATCGGCAATTAATAATGTCGACGACTTGACGCGCGGGTGTGTGCGCGCGCGTGATGATGTTTGTGTGTTTGTATGTGATGATGTTTGTGTGTTTGTATGTGTGGTCGTGTGTTTGTGTGCCTCGTGTGCTCGACGATGTCTCTGTGTGTGTGTGCATGTGTGTGTGTGTGTGAGAGAGAGAGAGAGAGCTGAGCATATGCCTTGCCTTGTCGAATGAGTTGTACTCGGGGGAATGCTATCGCTACATTGGTTAAGGGATATTACTATAGACGCGTGTCGTGGGGTCTGTCTCAGGGTGCGTATGCTCGAAACGTCAATGCAGCTCATGCAAGCCATGTGTACACCTTGATAATCTTCTCCTTAGTGAAGGTGGGTTCTCTTGTTTTTGGAAGATTTTTCTAAATGCCCCTGATTTTGCTGTGTATTTGCGGCTTGCCCCTCCAGCGGCTTACTCTGTGACGCCTATCTGGCATTGAATGTCTTTGAAAAGCCCCTACCGTGTTTGGGCCTGAAGTACGTTGAAGATGCTCCTACCGCTACTGGTACCAAATTTCCAGTATGCCACTACCGGACGTACCAGCAGATCAATCTCCCAGGTGCCCATACGGGTATCGTGGAAGTCTTCAGCATGCCCCTGTGGCTGTTAGTGGCACTCCGATTGACTCGGATCGTTCTCAATCGAGTGGGAGGACGCGGTGCGTCTTTCGAGTGGGAGGATGAGGAGTGCGCTGATTGAGGGGAAGACGAGCGAGCAGAAGAGAAATATGAGGAGGGGGAGGAGATACATTATTTTATCTTCCCATGTTCTAGCAGAAGATTGGTACTCATTTTGCACATTCTCGTTCACGACGAGAATGTACAAAGAAAGTAGAACGAGGGAAGATACGGCCATATGATATATCTCCTCCTCTCTCGTATTTCCCTTCCTCATCGCTGTCCTCCCATCGGAGTGGCAGGAGAGGAGCGCGACGAGGGGTGTAAAGCCCAGCGAGAGGAGGAACGGGAGGAGGACATATAGCCGTATCTGCATTTATTATTCTACAATGAGCATGAATAATCCGCTAGAAAAAGGAAGATACGGCCAGATTCCCTCCTCCTGTTCCTCCCCGCTTGTCTTTCTCTTCGTATCTCTTGGAACGGGAGGATGAACGGTAGGAGATATGACTGCATCTTCCCATGTTCTAGCGGAACACGATTAGGGCGGAGGGGTAAGTTGAGCGGGAGGAGGGATATGGTCGAATATTGCTTGTTCTAGCGGAAGATTCGTGCTCTAAACCTGCATGAATCTTCTGCTAATATGGGATTTCCTCTAGAACATGGGAATGGTTTGTCCTCGTCCCGCTCGTCTTTCCCCTGCTCATCGCTCTCGTCCTGTTTAATGTCCAAAATGAGGATGAATCTTCCGCTTGAGCATGGGAAAAATGAACATGGGAAGATACGGCCATATCTCCTCCTCTTCGGCCTCGTCCTTCCGCTTGTCTTTCCGTCCTCATCGCCCTTCCGTCGGAGTGGCAGGAGGAGGAGCCCGATCAGGAGGGGGAAGAGGAGCGGGAGGAGGAATAGGAGGTGAAGGAGATATGGCCGTGTCTCTCTATGTTCTACCTGAACGTGGTGAGGGAGGGAGGAACGGGAGGAGGGGATTTGGCCATGGGAGGAGGGGATACGGCCACGGGAGGAGGGGATATGACCGTATTTAGATGTTCTAGCGGAAGAGTCTTGTTTATTAGGATGGGCAAAATCAGCATGGATCTTCCGCTAGAACGTGGGAAGATACAAGAAATTGTGAATATTCCATGTCTCCTCCTCGCGCTTTGTCTCTCTTCCTCATGGTGGTCCTCCTCCAGGCACTCCGATGGGGTGTTTGTCTGTGTGCGCGCGCGTGCGTGTTTGTGTGTGTTGTGTGTGTGTGTGTGTGTTGTGTGTGTGTGTGTGCGCGTGCATGTGTTTGTGCATGTCTGTGAGGGGTTCTCCATGCTTTTAATTGCGGCAGGTGAATGCTGAGAGGGTATCAGAGTAAGATGTATGCCCTAGAGGGGATACCGCGTAGGGACAGTTTGACCGGTGGTCCAGTAAGGGTATGGTGGAAAGTTACCCTTCCTGAAAGGGATTTGCAGAGTTTTGGGGACCGGCAGTCCAGAAAGGGCGTGGCGGAAAGTTGTGCCCCCTACCTGCAGAAAATTCGAGGCCCCAGGGCTCCGACAGGGTAAGCCGGCTGTCACAGGGGCCTGCAGAAAATATGAGGCCCCAGGGGCACGACAGGATAAACCGGCCGCCACAGGGGCAGGCCTCAAAGAAACGGAAGAATTAGGGGCATCCAGTTCTGTTTTTTCCTTCTTTGTGTGTCTTTGTCTGCCCTGTCGTTTTTTCTCATGGACATTGTTAGAACTTGTTATTGGGAATTTTTGTTTATAATTAAAGAGAAAAGTGTTGATGCTGCAACACATTGCTGTGTGATTAGCGAAGTTAATTAAATTGTTATGATCCTGGCCAATTTCGAAGTACACATTCATCAGAAAGTACAATGCCGTCCAATTGTAAAAGAAATGAACTTAAGAGGAGAGAGGGAAAGAACAGGGACAAAAAAAAAAAAAGAACAAGAAAGGAAGAAGATTGTACACTTTCTACTGCAGGAATCACATGAGGTCCAGAGCCAATGTCCGAATCCCTCCTACTGCAGGTATCACGTGAGGTCCACCATAGCCATGGCCACCACCCTCTCTTTCCTCGAAGGCGGAGGCTATGGCAGACTACCAGGGCATCGCCCTGCTTCAAAGGATAACACAAAGCAGCTATGGCTGTTTAGCTCAGGTGCCATGCCTGACTCTGCCTCGAAGCTTCTCGGTGTAGCTCTACCCCAACTGGGGCCTTCCTGCTGCATCGCCCACCAAGGTGATAAAGATGGCAACCACCATAGCCAGGTAAGTACATCTGGCGCTCCCCCTTCCTAGTCCAGGTTTTCCCCATGTCCTTGCTGCTTCCCCCGCAGTGCTGCTCCGAGCTAGCACTGCTCCAGTCAGCGCTCCAACCAGTGTGTCGCTGAACACACACCGACAATGAGGAGCACCTTGCTCCTCCCGGAGAAATATAGCGGCCTGCTTGCCTCTTGGTGAGTGTGGTGAGTGACTTCCTAGGCCGTGCGGCCTCCAAGCAACCGGTACCTCCTCCCTTGGAGGGAAACATCATTGCAGACTCTGATATTGCCCGTACAGGCCCTAGCCTCCAGCTGGTTGGACAGGTACCCGCCTAGACCTAGCCTACAACTACTCGGCCTCCGAAAATGCCAACTTTGACTTCTGCTTGGCCTTGAGTACCCGGCACATCTACCTCTGCTTGGTGTGGTACCGGCCTACCTGCTACTTGAGTGTTTTCCGCTGCTCTAAGTGTCACAGGCCTCTTTCCCTGCCACAAGTGTTTTCCCCGCTGTAACTGTCAATGTCACTGATGTAAGTACAGGCCCTTCGGGCCTCTCCGATCAATCAAGTGCTCTTGTGGGTCACACACACACTCAAGGTGTCAAGCACTCGGACATGCATGCAGACCAGCAAGCATGCACCACACAGACTTAGAAAACTCAGCAACAAGCAGGAAACTCAGTAATGCGTGCATTCCATGAGCAAAACTGAGAAATCAGCTGTGTCTCAGTCTGTGTTTGGCAGGTCATTACAAAATGCTCTTTATGGGTCGGTGATGACTGTTCCAAAGGATTCGAAGTGTGTCTTTGCTACGTGAGACAGATTTGAAAAAGGCTATGTCGTGATGATCTTGTACACGCTGACTTTATACACCCAAGAACATTGGTTGTGGACTGTGAGCTCGGTCTAATTACTTATAGTAATTAAAGAAAGTGTCAATGCTGCAACTCTTGTGTGATTTTTAGTTAAATCAAGTAAATCCTCTTTATGGGTTGGGGACGACTGTTCCAAGGAAGTGCGTCTTCGGTAAGTAAGATAGATTTACAAAGGCTGTCAATGCCGTGATGATCTTGGTTAGTCGCTGACTTCATACACCCAAGAATGGTGGTCGTGGACTGTTAGTTCGAATCCAGATGATGGAAGTAGAGGCATCATGATATGAAGCTTGAGCTACTGCTGTTTATGGGTGGGTCACAAAGGCTGTCAATGCCGTGATGATCTTGGTAAGTCGCTGAGTTTATAGTAGTTTATACACCCAAGAATGGTGGTCGTGGACTGTTAGTTTGAATCCAGATGATGAAAGTAGAGTCATCATGATATGAAGCTCGAGTTACAGCTGTTTATGGGTGGGTCACGGACTATTATCCAGAAGAAGGCTGCCCATGGTATCTGCGTCTATATAAGAAGGCTGCCTAGTATCTTCATCTCTGGAAGATAGGATTGACGAAGGCTGCCACGACGCATGGGTGACTTCCTCATTCGAACGAGATACTGGACCGTGCTCGACACTACTCTTGACGTGCGCAAATGACAAAGTGGTGTATCTTTCCAATATTTTAGGGGGAGATTCAATCTCGTCTTGCACATTTCGAGAGTATCAAACTCTGTGTCTGTCAATTGGGACGTCCGTCAAAACTGGAACGATACAGAGAAGATTAGCATGGCCTCTGCGCAAGGATGACATGCATAAATAGAGAAATGGTCCAAGAATTTAAAAAAAAAAAAAAAAAAAAAAAGAACTGTCTGTGTCTCAGGCTGTCAGCTGCAATAGAGATGTCCGCTGTGCCGTTTTGTGAGCCATATTTGAGCTGTGTGCTGTGCTAGTCGTATCTGAGCGATCTGGTGAGTTAACCATATTTGATCTCTCTCCTGCAACAGCCACATCTGAGCTTTCTGACGCTTGAGCTGTCTGTTGTGTGTCATTCGTATTTTTTGAGATGTGTGTTGTGTCATCTGTACTCGAGCGGTGTGTTGTGTCGGCTTTTCTCGAGCTGTGTGTTCTGTTGCGTCAGCTGTATTAGTAGTCCGTCGTGTCAGCTGCAAGTTGAAGGTGTTCATCGATCGACACTTTGATCCTCCGGTGCGAAAAAGAGTGCCAAGCTTGGCTTCTTTGTCCGGTCCTGGTGGGGATCGTGGTGCTTAATCCGGGGCTGGAAGGATGTATGGGGGAGGCCTGAAGTGGGTAGTGGGTGTGGGAGGGGTTTGAAATGAGGGGATCCTTTTGCATCCTTGATTCCTTGCCGCCTCCTCCCTCGACAGGGGGTAATAGCACAGCGTGTGCGGTGGTAATGATGAGGGTCCGAACCCCAAAAATTGCAGAGCATAATTGCAATGAAAAGTTTAAAACAACTTTTGGGCGAGAGTTATCGCGAAATTCATACCTGAATCGGAGACGGGGGGGGGGGGGAACAACGCAACCTGTACTCGATCGGACATGAACGGCGGGTATGTGACACGCACCTGTACAGCTGTCTCTTATACACATCTAGATGTGTATAAGAGACAGTGCCCCACGTGAACACAAGTAACACAACGCACCCTCATTATGGCTGTACGAGACCAGAAAGATCGCTGATATCGCTTATATACATTCGGTATCAGGGAAAGGTGCAGAGAGGGCGTAGAGATGGAGATGGAGTTCGGGAAACGAGTAGAGATGTTCCGCCAAGTGTCCAACGGCCAAAAATGTTGGCGCATATGGACAAGTTGCAGAGGGGCCGGTAGGACGGTGATAGGGGCAATTTGCCATACCCATGCCTTTCAGGGGTATCTGACAAAAATACCACAACTGTCAGGGGCATTTAGACACTGTTTGCAATTACGAAAAGGAAAAGAGAGAATTTTGCAGAGTTTCACAACAGTCGTGGCCCCTGGGGGCATTCCGCCACATCCATGCCTTCTAGGGGTGTTGGACAAAACACGCCAATTTCAGGGATATTTCGACTATTTTTGAATTTTGGCAAAAACACGAAGGTGAATTTGGGAGTGTCAGTTTTAGACGGAAGAAACCGCGACCTCATCAGGTTGGGAGCAGCCCCCGCATGTTCTCTCGTGAACACGGTTCTGGCTAATACGGGGTTCCCCGTATGCCTACAATTAGGAGTAGTGGTAGGTAGGTAGTGTGAGGTGAAACTGAGATGAGAGAAGAATATAGCTCTTTTAAAAATCACGACCTCATCGCTGACCAGGTCAACGGGTGCCAGATGCCGGTCGCCGGTGGCCGGTCACCGGTCACCGGTCACCGCGCCCGGTACCAGTCAAGGGGCGCTGATCACCGATTCCGGTCGCCGTTCACCAGCCAACACGTCCAGGACCGTCGAGAGTGTCGAGCGGGGTCCGCGGCGACCGTTGAGACTGTACAAAGCGCGCCGCGCCCACGTCGTGCACTGTGAGCAAGGTTCGCGGCGAACGTTGTGAGCGAGCTTCCTAGACTGTATATATAGAAAGCGCGCGGCTCCGGAGAAATGAATTGTGGACTGTGGAATGTGAGTGAGCGACTCTGCGAGCGGGTTATTTAGCTATAGGGTTCGGACGGGTAGAGGGTGTGGGTGTGTGCGTTGGCGGGAGGAAGAGGAAGATCGTCCGCGGTGCTGCCATCTGAGGTCACTCTGACTGGCATACGGGCGCATACACGCCGAAGTAGAGTATAGTCGATTGCGCGCAGCTACACGGACGGTGGAAGTCGAAGAGGGAGGGGAGGGGAGAGGAGGGGAGTGGAGGAGAGGAAGTGAGACGAGGTAGCGATGGTTGTCAGTTTGGGAGATGTGATTCCGGACCGGGAGGTGGTTACCACCCATGGCAAATTGAAGTTGCACGAGTACGTGGGCGATGGCTGGCTTATGTTGTTCTCCCATCCAGGGGATTTCACACCGGTATGCACGACGGAGCTGGGGAAGATAGCCCATATGCATCGCGAGTTTGAGAAGCGCGGGGTGAAGCTGATGGGCCTGTCCACTGACGACGTGAAGCAGCATGAAGAGTGGGCCAAGGATGTTGAGGCCTTCGGCGGAAGTCCCGTTAAGTACCCCATCATTGCGGATCCCGACCGCACTGTGGGACAGGAACTTAACATGATGGATCCTGACCTGAAGGACGATAAGGGTCACCCCCTAGCCTCTAGAGCGCTTCACATCATTGGCCCTGACAAACGCGTAAGTGTCATCATCGTCTCTGATCACCATCGTCATCCTCGTCATTGCTATTGTTTATCTACCTAATTCTCATCATCGTCATTCTATTTGCATCCCTGGTCATCTCTAATCTGTCCTCGTCGGCAGCTCCGTCATCGAAGAAGTACCCGTGAGCGGGTGGTGGGCCTTCTTCCTCTTGTTGTTTTTGTGAATCAATCCGAATGAATGGGGGAGTGTAATTCTCGGTGCAGCCACCCGCAGGAACTCACAAGGCCGACCCGCAGGAAGGGAATGAGGCCCTTGGTCCTCGTCTGTGAACCATCGCGCGATTGCTGTATGTTCAATGGGTTTGACAGTGTGTAATCGTGGCGAATCCTTTCCTGTGCCTCACGGCATCTTCGCAGCATGCGGAGTTTTTCTGGATTGAATTTGGCTGGGAGAGTAACTACTGTGCCAGCCAATTTCTTTAGAGCTCTCTTCAATCTTCAGTAGTGTATAGTAGGTTAAGTACTGCAGTGTTAGTACATTTCTTTGTGTAAATACCTTCAGGAGTGTACTGCAGGTTAATTACTGTGTCTTTGCGTATTAAATACCTTCAGGAGTGTACTGCAGCAGGTTAACTACCGTGTTCGATTTCTTTGCGAAACTATCTCCAAATCGTGTCCTGTGAAGTTTAAACTCTGTGTGCTTGACCGTCGCTACTTGTTTTTTTTTTGTGTGTTCCTATTTGTAATGGGTTTGCGGATTGGGAAGAGTCGTAAAACGAGTCAGAAAACCTCCCCGCGACAATACCTTTGAATCCCATTTCTCCACAAACAAGAAAAGAAGTGCCGCAGGTCCCCCCAATATCACTTTTGGTGTCATTTCTGCACCCTGGCTAGGCCGGTAACGGTCGCTGTGTAAAAATGGCGGGAGAGTGTTTTGCGGGGTGCAAAAATGACGCCGACGCCGAAAGTGATTTTGGGGTCCGAACATCACTTTTGGTGTCATTTCTGCACCCTGGCCGCAGCTGTGTAAAAATGGCGGAAGAGTGTTTTGCAGGGTGCAAAAAGGACGCCGAAAGTGGAAGTGATTTTGGGGCCTGCGGCACCTTTTTCCGCGTTTGGGGGAAAGTGGAAGCAAAGGTATTGTGACTTTTCCCTTCGCAGATTCTGTTGTGAGCTCGTACTTTGGATTTGTCCTTTGTTTCTTGTGTTTTTCTTCGGGATAACGTCTGAAATTTGTCTGTCAGCCTTTAGAAAAATCGTGCGTGTCTCAGAAAAGGTGAGGGCGTACACTGAGATTACAGAAAACTGAAACCCGCTCATTTTCTTTTGTTTTGAATCTGAAACTGAAACCCGCTCATCTTCTTTTGTTTTGAATCTGTTTTATCTATGCTGTTTTGCAATGTTTCATGTGTAGATTGGCTGGGCTTACGGTTCGCAAATGTAACTCGTGGATTTTCTTCCACAAACGTTTTGTTTGGGACGCTGGGCCTATGGTTCGCAAACGTACCTCACCTTTTTTTTTTTTTTTGGTGGTACGACTTCACCAATTTGCGCTACTTCACTTCACCGATTTGGCTTCACAGATTGACCTACCTTGTGCTTTGCATGTGCGTATTACTTGTGAGACTCTTGTGAGACTCTGTTCGCGTTTGCAGATTGGATCCGACAGGAGTTTTCATAGAAGAGATGTAGCTTGTGCTTCGCATGTTTGACTGGTGAGACTTGTACGCGTGTGTTTACAGAGTGGATCCGACACGGACCGACAGGAGTTTTCGTAGAATAGATGTAGCTTGTGCTTCGCTTGTATGTACTTGTGAGACTTGTACGCGGTTGCAGATTGAATCTGACAGGAGTTTTCATGGAAGAGATGTAGCGGGTTCATGGAAGAGATGTAGCTTGTGCTTCGCATTATTGTACTTGTGAGACTTGTACGCGTTTGCAGATTGGATTCGATCGCATGTGTTCTCACTTGTGACACTCGTACGCGTTTGGAGATTGGATTCGAACAAGACGTTTTGTGTATCAAAAAAAAAAAAAAAAAAAAAAACTTTTTGTGTATTCTGTGCGCGTGGTTCACGTACGTGCTTCACAGATATGACTGACTTTGGGCGTGTATGTTTTTCGTTGTGTGTGTTGGGGGGGGTGGGGGGGGTTTGTACTGTGTGCACAGATCCGACTCAGTTTCCTGTACCCTGGTAAGGTGGGCCGTAACATGGACGAAGTCCTCCGTGTCATCGACGCTCTGCAGCTGGCCGAGAACCATCGGATCGCGACGCCGGTCAACTGGAGGCCTGGAGATCCCGTCGTCATCTCTCCGTCGGTATCTGAGGAAGAAGCAAAGCAGTTTCCTGGCTACATGGTCAAGACTCTTCCGTCTGGGAAGATGTACATGCGCATGACGTCCATTAGCTAAGAATCTGATGCGGTTGTTGCTAGTAAACATGACATGGTCCTGATATTCTCTCCGTCGGTATGTGAGGAAGAAGCAAAGCAGTTCCCTGGCTACACTGTCAAGACTCTTCCGTGTGGTAAGACGTACATGCGCATGACGTCCATCAGCTAAGATGGGAATATCAACTTGTCGCTAGTGCACATGGTCCTAATTTTAAGTCAGGGAAAAGCTATTTGCGGCTGTCGATCAATTCCGCAAAAAATGCGGTTGTCATGCCGTTCAGTCTATTTCCAGACGTGTCCTGATCAGTTGCACATCTGTCTGATCCGATCTGATCCGATAGTCCATCGGGCCCGGGAAAAAAAGAGGTCACAGGTTCAAGTCCTGTAGGATGCTGAATTCTTCGGGAGAGTGGCCGAGTGGTTAAAAGAGCCACAGACTGTAAATCTGTTGAAGGTGATATTAACCGTTACATTTCTACGTAGGTTCGAATCCTGCCTCTCCCACTTCGTGGCCTTCATACATTTCATGAATTACATGTGAAGACAGAAAGTGGTCGTCGTGCGACGTGCGTGCAGTAGTAGACGTGAATGCGGTTCTCGTACATTCACAATAGAAACGG